TATATATAGTTAGAATGATCACCATGTATTGTACCCTCATCATACCATAGTACCCTCCGATCATTAGTACCCCCCCCAATTTTTTGTAGAATGAAAATATCCAGGGTACTATAAAGCGCGCTTTACGGTAATCGTCGATTTTGTTTTTTTTTAAAAAAAAATAATTACGACATTTATACTCAAAAAAAAAGGGTAATTTAAATTTGGTTAAATTAGAAATTTTTTGACGTATTATAACACCATCTAATTTATTTTTTCAAAGGAATTTTTGTTTTAAAAAAAAAAAATTGAATTGAATTCTAATTTTTTTTTTCTTTCAAAAAAAATTTTTTTTTTTACCTTTCAATTCTTTTTATCATTAAACGTTATAATTTTTTTTCGTATTTAAAATTATTTATTTAAGAAGTTATTTTGCTGGTTCAAAATTGTAACATTACTTTATTAAAAAAAACCATTGTAAAAAAAAAATTATTTAATGAAAGATGGTATCCAACAAAGAAAAACCACTTCCATCACTTCCTTTTTTCAACAAATCAAATTCTAACGATTCCTCCAATAATAGCAAATCTAAATCTTCCTGCTTTTCACCGATATCAGCATTTTTCTCAAAACATACAACAAAATTTACCACATGGTTTTCAAAGAAATTTCCAAAAGCATCAGAATTTTTCAAAAAATATAAGGTGGCATTTTTAATTTTATTAATTTTATTGTTAATTGCACTGTTAATCATCATTATCATTGCTGCCGTTGGTGGATTTTCACGAGACGACGGTGAACCTGGTATTGATATGAACGGTGAAGGGGATGGAACTTATTACGGTATGTAATTACATAAGTTCCTTTTTAGGAATAATGAGATTATACTCTAATTTTCTTTTTGATTTGATTATTTAGATCCTGGTGTGGGTATTGGAGCATGCGGTTGGCAAAATTATGACCATGAATTTGTTGCAGCATTAGTAAGTTATAATTTTCAATTTTCTTCTTTTAACATTTTCTAAATGAATAATCAATTTATATAATTACTTTACTACATTACAGAATGCACCACAATATGGTAAATTTGCAAATCCTGCAGATTCGCCAATATGCGGTAAATGTATAAAGGTTACGGGTCCAAAAGGTTCTGTTAACGTAAAATTAGTTGACAAGGTAATTAATTTAACGAAATGATACCCTCTTTAAAAACATTAATTTTAAAATCCACTTTTTTTTTTTGTCAAGTGTCCAATATGTAAACATGGTGATATTGATATGACGTCAAAAGCATTTGAGGTAACCAACGTTACAAGTTTATTAATTTATTAAAATTACGATGTATGCTAATTTCTTTCTTGAATTATAGAAAATTGCTGATATAGATGATGGTAGAGTCAAAATTACTTGGGAGGCATGCTAAAATACAAACCAATTCATACAATAGATTGTCAATATATTGATTACACTGTCACATCAATTATAATTGTAGTAATTGATTTAAAAAAAAAAAAAGATTACCTATTTGCAAGCTGCTTCCAAATCATTAATTAATTGATCCAATTTACTTTTATGTAATATAAATATTTTCATCGCAGGTGTAATGCCAAAATCCGAAAAGGCCCTTTTCGAATCTGACGTTACAGTTTGTTTTGTTAATTTAAAATTGCATTGATAATTTGCGATCTATAATAAAAAAAAATTTTTTAACAAATGAGCGTGAATTACGAAATGAAATGAAAATCAAATTAAATGAATTAATTGTAATTTACCTGCTCAATGATTTCGTCTTCGGGATGAAAATAAAAAATCGTCGGCTCAGACTAACAAATTCACGTGTAAGTATAATTTAAGAAAGTTAAAGGATTCGAATCATTTTATACGTACGCTTTTGACTTTTTTCATTTTCTTTTTTGGCATCACATCTTCTTCATCCAAAGTGGAATCAACCTCTCTATAAGTTTTAGTTATGATCAGAAACCATTCAAATTCATAAGGTTCTTTCTAAACAAAAACATAAATTTTTTTTTTTTTAAAAATAAATTTGAAAAATAATTTTTTTCAAAATGTCTAAATTTACTTACATCTTCAATAGCCCATTGAATTTCTTCTTGTAACATTTTATACATTGGTGGGACGAGTTGTACCGGCATATTTATTAACCTCTCACTTAATATTAATCCGATATGAAATTGTGAAGTTTCTTTTAATAATTCAATTAATTTTTCGTTTAAATTTGTATCTTTTTTTGTTTTTTCTATTAAATAATTTTTTATTTGTTTTATACATTCTTTATCCTAAATAATAAATGATATGTATTAGATTTGATATGTTTTAGATTCTTTAATAATATATAATATATTGAAGTAGGCACATGTATACCTTATGTTCATTCATATTCAACACGGTAAGTAAAGCATAAGGATCAGAATCAGCTCCATCAATTTTAACAGTTGTACCTAATAATGGTTGACTTATAATTAATTCCGACAATTCACTTAGATTAAATAATTCTGCATCCGTTGAAAATAATTGTATCATTAATTGTTTTATTGTTTGATAATCTATTTCTTTTGGATCAAAAAAATCAAAATCTACATCGACTATTTCGTTCTATGATCATTAGTACGTTAAAAAGGGAAATTGAAAAAAGCTTCGTAAGGAAATATTTAATTTGTCAAACTCAAAAAAAATGCAAGAATCGTTATTATACATTACTTCCAAATGTTCATTCTCTCCTCCATCAGATGCTCCTTCTTCATCCGACTCTTCTCCTGAAATATCCATAGAATCAATTTTATCATCATTTGCTTTTCTTTTTCCCATTTTTAATTGAAAGAAAATGTTTGAAAGTAAATTTTTATCTAGATGTGGCAATTTTATCTTGGTGTCATGTAGTACCGGGCACGTGAGATATTGATGTTTCACGTGAAATCGATTACAGTCACGCGTTACTTTCTCAATTTTTTTTGATGGATAACCAGCTCACTGTCGTCCAACCAAAATCTGCGTCTAATGGTTTATATAACAATTAAACAGTGATGTTTAACAAAATGGATGGCTCCATTACATCTGATAAATGAACCAATATTTTATTATTTCATTTATAAGGAGTCTGAACGATGTTGAATTCTAATGACGATAAATTATTTTAGAGTAAAATCAAATTTGATTTCCCAATTATTAGCTACCTGGTCGAAGTGCCGGATAAGTGATTTATCCGGTATCAAATAATAATCAATATTTTTTTTTTTCGCTCAAAAATATTTTTCTCAATAAGCATTTGATTTGTTTGGTATGTTTGGTATTTAACTTAAAAAAATATCGAACGCTCAACTCAACTTATTCATTAATTGTGAAGACTTTTACTAAACCATTAGATAATTACAACATATAATATAAATTTAAGTTAATTTCTAATCATAACGATATTAAAAAAAAAATAAGTATTTTCTTTGAAATTTAATATGTTTAAGAAAAAGAAAAGAAAAAGAAATTACTTTTAAGCTTTTTTAATGCAAAGACCATAAGGTCGAATATCTCTGTCATTACTAGTAACAAAATACTGTTCAAAGTTTGCTATCTTAAAGGCATTAGGTTTCACACGATTTTGAAACACGACTTTATTATGTCTCTCCCTCATAATTAAATCTTGTAGCATAATCAGAGGCTATTTCAATATATGGAGTAGATTAAATTCCAATACCAAATTTAAAATTTATTCCTTTACTCAAATCAAATCCATCCTTTGCGATTGAATTCGCATTACGTTTTGTGGTACCATGGTAGCTAACAATCCATTCATCTTTCACAGAATCAAAGCTGGTTACCCTATTATTTACCCCAAGCCAACTATTGTCATTAAATTTATCAAGAACTTTTAACGCGATACGTCTCCATCCATATGGTCGATTATAATTGAAATTTCCACGCATATATTTCTTGGAACTTTGTATATTGGTAAAATCATAATCAAAAGGAGGGTCCAAGAAATTCCGATCAAGGACAAAAATTGTAATAGATCCTCCTCCACGTAATAGCAAAGTCAAATAAATTAATGAATCATTTGTGATATCATAATCTTTTAACGTTAGATGGTCTTGAAGTGTTTTATTATTATAACGTAAATTTATTTCCTCCGGTGGGATTCGTTCAGTTTTATAAATTTCATTTTTCAATTGACGTACGGAGGTATTCGCGTTAACGTTTCTTAACGTTATGGTCTCTCCGGAAAGAGTTTTTATGAAAATGTTTTCGATAATTAAACGTCGATCATCTGGAACTTCATAATCAGCGTTGTCTTTTACCAAGGATTTCTCACGAAGTGAATTATAATCAAAAGTTTGAAAATTATAGTCGGAATTGTTATCAAATAGTAACGATATGTATTCTTCTTGCGTAATTATTTTTATACATATTTGAAACCGATGTTTTATATTACTCCCCAACAAGGGATCAATTTCCTTCGCAAGGGCATTTTTATCAGATGATTTCCAACTTTATTGATTTAACCGATGAATTCATAAGTTATATGACTTTTTTAAAGTAGATCGAATAAATATTGATTTGGCAAAATTTTACGCCTGTAAACAAACAATAATATTTACTAAACACGTGATTTATATAATTAATAAAGTATTTCGTAATAATGATTACATAAAAATTTTTTCTCATAAATATGATCCATGGGAAATTTTTTTCGGTAAACATTACATATAAAAAAACCCAAAAGAAATGGACTTTTCTGATTAAGGTTTCATATAAATCATATATATTTTTAAAATTTTTACTCGTTATCACTTAAATAAGGTACTGTATATATATGTCAACAAACAAGAACTATCATTTAGAGGTAATTAAAGACTTTGAAAGAGCTCTTGAGGAAAGTGATGATTATGACGTAATAATTAAGGCTGGTGATGAGAAGGAAGTTCGAGCACATTCATCTATACTTCGTGCCAGATCATCATATTTTAAAAGAGCATTATCTAGCGATTGGGAAGAAAAAGATGATAACGGAAAATTTATTTTTAAAAAGCCAAATATCTCCTCTGAGGTGTTCCATTTGATCTTCAGGCAAGTAAAACAATTCAATCATATCTTTAAGAATTTTTGTTCGTTACAGGATTAACCTACTTGATTTTTTTAGATATTTATATACGGGAATTATAGATATTGATCAATGCAATAAGAATATAGTTTCGCAATTATTAATCGCGTGTGATGAACTCGGATTATGCAAGTTGCAAGAACACATCCAAGGATATATTTCTGAGAAAAAAGGATATTTGCAGGAGAATCCTGTTGGCACACTTGAAAGCATTTACAAGGTTGAAACTTTCCAAAACATAAAAGATGAATGCCTTGAAATCATTTGCGAAGATCCGAGAATTCTCTTTACTTCAGAAAATCCAACAACAGACAAATCGATTATTACCATGATACTTCAAAGAGATGACCTTAATATGGAAGAAATTGAGATTTGGGAATCTCTTCTTAGGTGGATTTTTATTCGACACCTAAAAATCGATAAAGAATCTATGTGGACCTCAGAATCCTCGGAAGTTTCAACAGAAATTAAACAGATTATACAAGAATATATCCCGTTAATCAGGTTCTATGATATCTCCAAGGAAGACTTTTTCTTAAAAGTATATCCGTATAGAAATTTCTTGCCTCAAGATTTGCTAAATGATGTTCTTCGATATCATATGGTTCCAAATTCTATTCCAACGGTCAACTTCAAGCCTCCTAGGAATCCTAGAACTTGTTTTAATTCTGTCTTTGTCAGTAAACGTTTATTCAGGCTTTTTGCGAGGTGGATTGATAAGAGAAGTGAAGACAATGCAGCAAAAATTCCATATGAATTTAAAATTCTTCTTCGTGGTACTAGGGATGGTTTTGATTCTGCAACGTTTCACCAATTATGTGATAACAAGGGTGCAACAATAACTATTACGAGAGTTAAAGATTCAAAGCAAATTGTTGGTGGTTATAATCCTTTGAATTGGTATAAGAATGGTGAATATGCAAATACAGGGGATAGCTTTTTGTTTAACATAACAGATAGTAATGACCTCAATTCTGCAAAAATAGGTCGTGTTTTTCAAAACCATCAGAATGCGATATATTATCACAGTAGTTATGGACCAACTTTTGGTGGTGGAAATGATTTGCGTGGACAAGGAAATACTTGGAATGCTTCTAATGGAAACACATATACTAACATAAGGATTCCAGCCAACTTCACTATCGATGAATATGAAGTATTTCAGGTCGTAAAGAAAAGTTAATTAATAATGAAATTTTTCCTTTCTTTGATATGTTGATTCAGAACATTCTTAATATATAACTATTTCTTACATATGATTTATAAATAAAGTTGCATATATACGTAAATCTATTATTTCTGATCAAGAAGGCTTTCATTTTATAAAATAAAATGCCTTTATCTTCTTGGTCTTGCACCTTTTATATATGTTATTTTGAAGTACATGTTTAAAGTTACGTGTTTATCAATAATATTTTCACCTTTGAAGCACAATAATATCTTTATAAATTAGCCACCCTCTTGGAATCCGTAATTACAGTATACTCGAAACATTAATGTGTCTGTACTTGGAGACACTAATACAATTTTTTTTTTAACAATTATTGTTTAGCCACGAACCGCAGTTGTGTCCAAATAAATTGTAATTTGCGCCAATCCATTTTCCACATAATTACCATACTTGGATAGGAAATAATTACACGGCCACATATGATAATTATACTTTGGCCGTGGAGTAATTTACAACAGCAAAAAGTTAATTATCTGAACCGGATAATTATAACGTAACTTCACGGGTAATCTCTGATAACCCGTGAAGTTACTATAATAATAAACTGCCTGTAAAAATAATGCAAATTGTTTAATAAATCCATCGATTAACTGATATCGGAAGCGTTAAAGGTAGGGTATGACACCCAATCTCGCGATATTCAAATGAAATTTATTATAAAAAAAAAAAATTTTTTATCTTATATAAACGTTTTATGATGCAGAAAACTTAATTGTTTTGTCAAATAATTGTAAAAAAGCTTTCTTCATCCATTTCCACTTGCCAGTATTCACCATATAGATCATCTAAATTTGTTTAGCATTTCATCTATTCTTAGTATAATGCTCATGTTCTTTTATCTCGCTGTATCATTTTGCAATTTTTGTTAAATTTGTAAAGGGAGGCCAATGCCTTTTTCCTAGTCGTGAGAAATTTGACAAAGCATCTTCAATCACTAGTCAGCATTAAGTGCATGGGAACAGTCTAAGCAAGCAAATAGTTTATGTTTGCTTAACAGATTGAAATAATGAAAGCTTATAGCTATTAAGCATAATCTCCTTATTCTTTCCTGAAAATTGATAATTTCCCAAACTCTCTAACTTTCCGATTAATTTTGCTATTTAATACATGAATGCGTGCAAATCACCGAGTATATATCCTTTACGTGTTCATAATGCTAGTCCACAAATTTGTTTGAACTGCGGTCACAATGCTTGACCGTAACCTTGTTCAAGTGTCGGCAGGCCATGAACCGCTCTTAAAAATTTGCTCCTTTTGTAATGTCAGCGTCGCTGGACGACCAATGAAACTTCAGTGGCATTAAACTTTTCAAAATGGAAATTATTTGTTATAACGTGTTGTTTGTAATATAAGAATTACCTTACAGTAGTAATTCGAATTTTGATCTAATGTTTACTAATTTACTTATGATTTACTGAAATATAAACACAAGCCGAACTTTTATCATGAAACATAAGTTTCCTTGGTTAAAGGTGATTTGAAGGATAATCTATTTTTTCACATTTAGGAAATTGATTATCGCGACAATTACCAAATTTCTTTCATGTTGCTTGGAGTTACACATATTATTGCATGATTGCTATTATTTATTAAACGTCAAATATTAGTTTCATGATTCCTAAATGAGAATAATGACAATAAATTAACTCCCGATTTTTCTATTGAACCGCTTTGACAAAAAAATAAAATCATAATCAAAATCATAATATGATAAAAATTCTTTCACTTTTACAAAACGCAAAAAATGAGCACATTTTATGTCTTCTTTTATCTCGCTATCTTTGTCACCTTTTCTAATGCAGTGCAGATTAAAATTCTAGTTGGTAACGCATTTGGACAAAATGTATTCGAACCAAATGTTGTAAATGCTAGCATAGGTGATATTGTATGTACAGTAAAAAACACTTTATTTGGCATTGCTTTAAACGTTTACAAAATTTTCAGATCCACTTCATTTGGACGCATGGTTCACATAGTGTGATTGAATCCGATGCAGCGGCAAGCTGCGTAAGATCCGCAAAACCTAATGCCTTTAGTTCAGATGGCGAATTTTCAGCACCTAAAGTATTTTCTACTAAAATCACTCAAGAAGGCAAACATTGGTTCTATTGTGGAGTTCCTGGACATTGTAAAAGTGGCATGTACGGTACTCTCATCGTTGGAAATGATGATTCCGGGGGAACAAATAATGAAACTAGTACTAAAATTATTTGTAAGTTTTAATTTTTAAATTTTTAAATTTTTTTTATTTTTTTTTATTTTTTAATTCAAACTGACCAATCACTTATTCCTTTGTAATAGCATTTTTTAAAAAAAGAAAAATAAGCATTATCATCTTTCTTATAATTTTTACATTTCTCTCTATATGTTACATAATAGCAAAAATTATAAACCAAGAGGTAACCCTCATTTAATGTTGACCCCTAACAAAAATGATAAGAACTCACTAATTTATAATTTTTTTTAGGGACAAAATGTGTTAATATTTGCAATAGCATTTATTTTATTTGGTTTTATCATGGACTTACTTTTTCTCTTTTATGACGCAAGAAAGGTTCCAGAGCTCTATATAACAAGGTAAGATTACATGTGGATCTTTTCAAACTTTCTGAATTTGTCATTTCATTTTTTTTATAAGCTGATTATTGTTTTAAAGTCTTGTAGTCTTGATAGTTCCATTCGGTTTAAATGTTGTATTTATGACTGCAACGATGATTCATGAAATTAAGACAAGTGAACATAATTGGTTTAAAGAAATTTCAACTTATTTTCTGGCATTAGTAATAATAGTTATAGGATCAGATTTTGATGCGTGGAAATTGCTTGAATCACGAATTGGCAATTTAAAAGGATTTAATGCACCACTTTCTGATACATCCAAAATGTTTATGTTATGGTGTAGTATCTTTCATATTTTCATTAAAGACATTCCACTCTTTGTTATTCAGGTATATTATTTATAGAAAGTTCTTTCTTTTAAATAATATATTATTTAATTATATTAACACGTCAAAACCTTTATTAATTCATTTGTAGTTTTTATATAAAAAGTTTCTCGATGAGAACTATACAATGATAACATTCATGATCTTCGTCAAATCCATTATATTTTTAATTATAAATTTATTGAGCAAAGGATTGGAAGCAATTAAACATATCAAACATAATGCGGGTGAGGATGAAAAAAATCATAGTGTAGATACAAGTGAAGAAAGTAACGATTATGTAGGTGCAAGTGAAGATAATATGGTTCAAGAAAGTCCAAGTGGTGATAGATCAAAATCCCGTTACAGAGCTTTATGTTATTTTTTCATGTTTTGTCTTGTTTTTATTTATTATACTGTGCTTATAATTACATATCATCTCATTACACTATTTAAAAGTTAAGAGCTAATTATGCGTCAGCAAGATACTTTATTACGTTAGATTTATCATACGTCATTGTTAGTTTAAGAATTCATTTATAATTCCGTGTTAAATTTATTTATAGCGCGGTAATATAAGATAATAAAATTTTTAAGGCAAGGACCCTGAAAAAAAAGGAGGGAATGCATTTTCGCGCGTCCATTTTTTAGCCAATCACTTTTTTTTTAATTTTATTCACTTGATCAAATAAAACGCAAAAAAAAAACTTTATTTCTTTCGACTATTTGAAACATTAGATAGTTTAATTATAAAATCCTAATAGGCCCCAAAGTTCACATTTTTGTCAACAGGAATATCTTCGTCAAATAAATATGGGAATTTGTGTTTTCTTTATAATAGGCATTTTGATTGAACTTTACGATAAAAAAAAAATTTTACGCGATATGACATAAATTTTCACATGCTATAAAATCGAGTTTGTCCGACCTATTACCATGATTATTGCAACCAGATTTGGGCCATTCAAAAACTTTCCTTTGAACATAATCGTATGCTACCCGTTGATGTGTATCTAATTCATTTGCAATAAATTTGAAAAGTCATTTTATAAATTTTCATATGCTATAACAATAACTTATATAAGTTTTGACTTTGGATTCAATTTCGAATTTCGACACTGACAATAAGTTTTGCCATAAAATATTTGATTTTAATTCGTGAAGTATAAATCAACTTTATAAGTTTAGAATAATATACTTGTATATATATAATCACTGCATCCTTGAAAACCTTAGAACTTTTTATAAAATCAATCAATTTTTTTTTTTTTTTTTGGTTTAACAGATCGTAATTTTCATCAATGATTTTTAAATTACACGCATACTAGCTTATTAAGCGTGGTGTGTGATAGAGGGTGATAATAACTATTAATGGCTCTGTAATAGTCCTTAAGTGAAATTCATTAACTAAAAAAAAACGAAGCACATATATACAGAATTCTATCTCGAGACAAATCTATAATTCTCCATTAAAAAAAAAAGAACAATTGATCAGGGCCGTGTGGAGGGAAGAAATGGTATCATCACATACACTAAGGTCAGAAATATGCCAAAGGAACAGGACGCAGTAATGGACCTGGGCGCGGTTAGTAATTAATTCGGAAACCCAACAGTGTCGTGAATTGTCAAGTAGACAAAATTGCGTTAGCAAAAATCTGTTGGGAAATCGGCAAAATGATAATTCGTGAACTGTTATACGAGAGAGAGACTACATAACCAATCAGACAATTGATTACTAAATTTTAGATGGCGTTGTATTTTATTATACAGGAAAGGTAATTTTGATTTATAAATTTTTGGACAATATGTTCAATCCCTTTGTTCTATGCATAATCGCTATACTTAGATAATTATATAAAGTCGACAATTCCCATGATTTTTACCATGAAAAATCTGAGAAAAAAAGAAATTAGATAATTTCAAATTTGTATATTTAAGCTTAAAATTCATATGAAGTAAATATTTGACATTAAGCCACAACACAATGATATTAACGAACATAAATTGATTATGTAATACTGTTCTGTTTTGAAAATATCATTGTCACGAGCTTTTAAATAGGAAAAAAAATTCAGATAAATATTAGATGTTCTGTTCACAATAAAAAATAATATGATAATTGATATATCTGTATAAGTTTCGTTACAATGTGATGTAACATGTTACCTTGCGGACATTCCGTTTATTAATTGTCATCTATAAAACGAAATGAAATCGATAATAATAAAGACCTAGTTATGGTTATACTATCTCAAATAAGGTTATATGGCTTTTGATAAGCGAAAGGTGGTATCATCAATTAACCTTTTTGATCTTCCTTTATGCAATAATAAAAAGCTTCAATTCTGCATTTTTTATGCCGAAAGTTTTTTTCTATTTAAAAAATTGAATCAAATGCCATCACGTTATTTTCCCGAAGTTATCGAAGATTTTGAAAAAGCCCTAGTAAATGGTGAAGATTATGATGTGATCATCAAGGTTGGTGAAGAATCTGATGAGAAGGAACTTCGAGCGCATTCATTCGTACTTCGCACTAGATGTCCATATTTTAAGAGAGCATTATCTAAAGATTGGGAAGAAAAAGACGATAAAGGTAATTTTATTTTTAAAAAACCAAATATCTCTTCCGAGGTGTTCCAATTAATCCTCAGGCAAGTCAAACAATTCATTTATATATTAACGATTATTATTCTTAAAACTTTAATAATACTTTTTTTCGATGATGCTTAAATTTTCTAGGTATTTGTATACGGGAATTGTAGATTATGATCGACACCATAAGGAAGTAATTTTGCAATTCTTAGTTGCGGCTGACGAACTGGGATTAAGCAATTTGATTCAACACATCCAGGATTATTTAATTGATGATGAAGAATATTTGCATAAGGACCCTGTTGTCCCACTTGAAGTCATTTATCAACATGAAACATTTGAAAAGCTGAAAAATTGTTGTCTTGAAATCATAAGCGCAGAACCGAAAATCCTCTTTACATCTCAAAAATTTACATCTTTGGAAAAACCAATTATTACAATGGTACTTCAAAGAGATGATCTTAATATGGAAGAAATTGAGATATGGGAATCTTTTCTTAGATGGCTTTTCGTTCATAACCTAAAAAGTGATGATGAATCTACGTGGTCCTCGGAAACTTCAACAGATATTAAACAGATAGTTCAAGAATATACCCCGTTAATCAGGTTCTATGATATCTCCAAGGAAGACTTTTTCTTAAAAGTATATCCGTATAGAAATTTCTTGCCTCAAGATTTACTAAATGATGTTCTTCGATATCATATGGTTTCAAACTCTGTTCCAACAGTTAACTTCAAGCCTCCTAGGAATCCTAAAACTAGTTTTAATTCTGTCTTGATTAACAAACGGTTTTTTAAGCTTTTTGCGAAGTGGATCGATAAAAGAAGTGAAGACTATGCAGCAAAAATTCCATATAAATTTAATCTTCTTCTTCGTGGTACTAGGGATGGTTTTGATCCTGCAACGTTTCATCGGTTATGTGATGGCAAGGGTGCCACAATATCTATTGCTAGAGTTAAAGGTTCAAAGCAAATAATTGGTGGTTATAATCCTTTGAATTGGTATCAGAATGGTCAATATGCAAATACAGGGGATAGCTTTTTGTTTAACATAACAGATAGTAATGACCTCAATTCTGCAAAAATTGGTCGTGTTATTCAAAGTCCTCAGAATGCGATATATTATTACAGTAGTTATGGACCAACTTTTGGTGGTGGACATGATTTGCGTGGACAAGCAAATACTTGGTATGCAAATAACGGAATCACTTATTCTAACATTAGTATTCCAACCAGCTTCACCATTGATGAATATGAAGTAATCCAGGTCGTAAAGAATAGTTAATTCATAATGACGATAGACATTTTTTTTGTATTGATTCATGTTTAAATTCTTAATCTTTATTTCATGTGATCGATCTTAATTTTATTCCTAGAATAAAATATATATAAATATATAAAAATCGAGTTACGAACATAGTAAGCCGAACTTTTGACTCTACAATTTTTTAAAGTTAAAAATGTAAAAATATGTCTATACACGTTTTTTTTTTTTTGTTTATTAAAATTAAAATAATAAATAAACAACCCGAATTTAGTTTTTTTTTTAAACTCGTCGCTAATTAGGATTGAGGATAATCAAGGTTTTTAGCGACGATTTGCCGACACCGACCTAAATTACACATTTAAGAAAAAAACCTGACATACGGAGGTGTCTCATATCTAACCCTATTGGTAACAATACTAGGAATGCGTCATAAGTTCGGTTTATTGTTAGCGATGGTTCGGTTAAACTTTCGGTGAATCGGACTAATTTATATAAATATACCAATTGATTACTAAAAATTTAGATGGTAGAAAAGTAAACAATATTTATAATTCCTTTGGTTCTAATATGTTTTTAATGCATACCAGTAAAATCAATTTATGAGATATAGTAACTCATATGATCTATAATATGATTTCAATGACAACATTCTTTTCATGGAGCAAAAGGTATTAAAGTCAATGGAACCTTTGCGATTTTCCTTTTTTTATATGCCATCACGTTATTTCCCGAAGTTATCGAAGATTTTGAAAAAGTCCTTGTAAATTGTGATGATTATGATGATGTAATCATCAAGGTTGGTGATGATAAGGAGCGTGCTCCGTATTTTAAAAGAGCATTATCTAGAGTTTGTAGCGGTAAATAATAACGTGTCAGTCAATGATTTATTTTTAGAAATCAGTAATCATGATGAGTTATAACAATTAATAATAACGAGTCTCCCAATAATTTATTTTTAGAAATCAGTAACCATGTTGAGTTATAAAAATCAAAAATAACGCGTCTCATTATAATTTTTCTTTAAAATTCGTAATGAAAATGAATATAAAATTTTATTTCAACATATCGAATTATTTTTATAATTTATAATAAATTGTTAACTGTAAAAGGAAACCGTTAGTTAACTTAATTTTAATTACAATCGTTGACGAATCAATTATTAAAATATTAATTGAATTGAGAACGTGATATTGAAAATTTAAATAATTTAAAAAACATCAATAGATGATTGTATGAATATACAATCTAATTTATTAAAGAAAATACAATTAATTAAAGAGAAAATTTTTGAAGAATATATATTAAACAAGTAGACATTTGGTAAGTACTTTAACGTATAAACTTATTAGATATTAAATTTATTCTAAAACAAAAAAAAAAAAAAAAGTACTTTTTATCCTTTCAAATAACTACTCCATTTACAAACACTTTAATCAAGATGAATAATACAATCCTAATAAATACATGTAATAAAAAGATACTTCCGGAAGAACTTGTATGGCGAAATATTGATTATATAATACTATATTCTGTTTTGAAAATATTATTGTCACGAGCTTTCGCATGGAGAAATCAATTCTGTACCTGTTAGATCTCATGATTATTAATAGATCTGTATAAGTTTCGTTACATAATGTTGTAAAATGTTAAGTTTGTTAACATTTCACAAATTGAAATTCACAATTGAAATTCATTATTGAAATTCATTGATAATA